CATTCAAAGTATACTAATAATTCAAATTATGATAACCCACATGCATTATCTTGCAGTTATTATAATTAAAACCCATCTGCCATTTACTTGCTCAATTCACTAAATGATCTAAATCCTTTTGTAAAGCAGCAGCATCCTCCTTACAGCTAGCAACAACCAAGACCTTAATATCATCTGCAAAGTTAAGGAATTTATTGACCATTCCTTCATCTATGTCATTGATGTAAATCAAAAAGAATAAAGGTCCTAAGACTGAACCCTGAGGTATCCCACTTGTGATATTAATCCATTTTGACTGAACTCCATTTATAACAACCTTCTCCTTTTTTTCCATCCAACCACTCTTCTATCCAATTTGCAACTTATCCCCCATACCTATAGAGATAATTCTATTTTACAATCCTTTTATGTGGCACCTTATCAAATGCTTTCTGAAGATCCAAATACACCAAATCTACACCATTACCCTCATCTACATAAGCAGTAACCTTCTCAAACAATGTCAAAAGATTTATAAAGCAAGATTTTCCCTTAGTGAAACCATGTTGACTATCCAATAAAATTCTAAATGTTGTTAAATGACTTTGCAAAGCATCTTTTATCAGACTTTCGAACATTTTTCCCACAACTGATGTAAGACTAATAGGCTTGTAATTAATGGGACAATTTTTATTACCTCTCTTGAAAAGAGGAATAACTTCCAATCCTTGCAGTACAATTCACTTCTTTGTTTTTAATTAAAGCGTGAAAGTACTGGGGTCACTCATCATATACCATTTTAAATTTCAGTAAATATTGTATTAATTTATATTTTCAACATGTTGTGTCCCTATTTTATGCTTTAAAGTGATAGTTGCTTTCAAAATAATTTAAAATACATATATATATATCTCATTTTGATAAATTTCTTTACCTTTTATAAACAATTTTACCTGGACTAGCTAGAAAAAAAGAAAGAAAGAGTTTTATCACCAGAAGAAGTAAACCCCAAATATGTTTTACACTTACTCATGTTAATTAGTATTGGTTCTCCAGTAAGAGAACAGATGCTGGTCAATAGCCCACCAGCAAGTAGCTACCTCATGCTTTGCAAAAGTGGCTCAACAGTAAGTGACCAGTGCTAACTCAGCAGCAAGTAACCACCGCATGTTGGCTTACCAGCAAATAAAATATAAATGTTCCAAACCACAGTTTACTGATTATTAGCACAGATCAGCAGTAGTTGATGATACTGGAATTTCTAGTTACAATGTGTTCCTGGTGTGTCACTTATTCAAAAGATGTAGAAGCACTTGAACTATTTTGTTAAAAAAAATAAAAAGACAAAATGTAAACCGAGAGAGATGCAACAAGAGTGACATTGTTTCAATAAGAAAATATGTTCATACACATGGGCAGCCAGAAGTATTTTTCTTGTTCCTTCACTAACTTGGAATTTTTTTTTCATTAACACGTTATGTTTGAGAAAAAAATATATATGTGCCTGACATTAAAAAAACTTAATAACATAGAAATATACTTATATATAATTCATACAAGTCTAATTATGTAACATATATTTTGCTTTGAGAAAATCTGACCAAACCTTTATTCTCCAATTGCTCCAGACGTGAAAAACGAGGTTGCAAAGAATTCTGGGAACCAAAAGATTGTAGAGCTTGAAGATACTGAGTTTTTATTCGATTCAAATGTTTTGAAACATTCTCAGAAATTGGTGTGGCTAATAAAAGATTAAAAATATTTAGAATAAGCAATAACATATGACAACATTAATTTGTTGTTAAACTAAAAACAAAAAATTCCAAAGTAAATTCTCTCTAAAGACATCAATCACATTAAATGATTTTAATAGTTAAGATTGATTTAAGGACATAGTTAGCAGTTGTAGCATAGTCAATGAATAGCGTTTTGTATAAAATAACCTGTCTGAAAAACATGGGTGATGGAAAACATTTCAATATACTTATTGAAAGAATATTGAATCAATGTCTGTAAATCACGATATCAAAAGCATATTGTCTGCACAAAAAAAATCTTTTTGTAATATTTAGTTTGCATCAAAAGAAAAAAAAAGTTTTCCTACAATGAAGAAACTGAACAACCTCTACAAATGCTTTCATCAACTATTTACCAATATCAGGAGCATATGGATTAGGCTTTGAAGATTCTGTCCGAAATCCATTTTTGGCCCAATTAAGCATTCCTGCAGAGTCACCCTCAACAAATTCCACTTCAGCATGCACAGCCACTTCCTGAAGTTTAAAACATCAAAATGCAATTTAATAATATTGTGTAGCATTTATATACATATGCAAAAAGAAATGTGTAAGGTTTAATGTGCTTGGATAGAAACCAATGTTATTTTTTATTATGCAAACCTCAAAGTGAAATAGTTAGAACACAGGCAGATTTAAACTACCAAGAAAATAATACAATATTTTTAAAAACTACCTAGCTTCACTATAGCAAAATTAACAAGTCTTTTCTACATACAGTGCAACTTATAATTTGTTATTAACTGTTAGAAACCTTTAGGCCTTCTTAAAAACTAAGTTAAGTGGATTATAAATATAATTTCTGTGATAACTTGTGAAATCAAAACATATCAACTACAGGAACTGATTGAAAAGAAATTTTTCAGAAGATTATATATAAATATTTATCATAAGGTAAATTAAAAAGTAGAACAAAACATTTTAAATGGCATTTTGCAGTAGATGGATATTTGTAAACTATTAAAATGCTAATTTACTTTCATAGAAAGCATGCTTTACATTAAATGTAAAACATAATATATGGTTAAAAACTATAAATAGATAAAAATCATACAACATTTTCCCCGTACAGCTTACATCATTATTATATGGTTAATATTTGAACTTACTCGGATTGCCTCTACAACTCCCCTTTTGAACATTTTGCCAGCAAAGTCACTAAACTTGCTACTAAACTCTTCAACAAAATCCACCAGCTTGTCCCTTGGTAACTGAAACAATTATTAATTGTTTATTGTATACTAAAAAAAAGAAAATCTGTAGAGAGAGTAATGTTTTCTTTACCATCATTTTTGTTTCTAAATTTAATATTACCCATGAGGGATTTAGATGAATATGCAAAGCAGTACACATTATGTAAATTTTGAAACAACAATTAGAGCAAGTGCTTGCCTAGATTCAAACTGTTTGAAGGCTAACATATCGTTTTACTGTATGTACAGAAATACAGAGAGAGTAAATATTACTCTTAGTATTTCATTATATAACAATTGTTACAAGATATAACTAATAACTATGCTGTATCTTTCTATACCCACTGTCACAACTACAAACTTCAGGTTCATTTATTGTAAAAAAAATCTATCAAAATCATGTGTTAGGTTTTATGTAATTCGTATTTATCACTTAACTTCATTTACTTATCTGACAAACAGCTAATAGGACATAATCATAATTCTGCAAGTTAAACCTTCAAAGCCATTTAATATGCTTTCAATGGTCTAAACATTATTAGGGAGGATTATATAAAGTTTTGTATATACTGGTATCACACTTTTCAAGGGACAATCAATGAATGGTGGATAGTGCATTAAATTGAATAACTAATTTTGTGTGTTAAATGCTCCGTTATATTTAAAAACATTTTTTTTTTCATTATCAGTATTGGTTAAATGTTAAATTCATATGTATTTATATATTTCATTATTTTGCATTATTATCTCAAGATTTATGAATAACCTAAGTCTTCTAAGCTAGTTAAACTTGGTGAAATATTATTGGGATTATGGCCAAAAATATTGGTAAAACTGGGTGTAACCAACTGATGATTCTAAGTATTCTAATTTTTTACAAGTGATAATGGTATATTACATTACCTATATTAATTATGTATACAGTGCAAAGTTGTTTTGCCATGTTGTGATGGTTTGTAAATCAATGGTGAATGTAGTAAAATTTTACTGCCATATGCTTAATAATTTTGGTGAAGGAATGCAGAAAAGCAAACAAATTCAGTTAGCATGTTTTTTATCACTCTGCCATTCATCAAGAGTGATTCTTTTGTCCTTTTGAATCAAAGAGGACTGGATTAGTGAGAACTCAAGAAGGCACAATCTTTTTCCAAATATCTGTTCAAAGATCCTTACAAATGTGCAGTTTTCCAAAGCAGCATGCCTCTTTCTTTTCAAAGATCCAGATTAATATTTTCTACATCTATCATAATCTCAGCTTGCCATTGTTATATAAAAGATAATAAAATAAAGATAATTTGTTTTTAATAAATCCTAACTAGATTCTGCAGACACAATCTGGAGCAGGAATTTGAATCTCTAACTTATAAATTTTACTAGCTGATGGACCTGTGCGATGTACAGCAAGAGGTTTTTGACAATAAAATTTTATTGTTTTTTTGTTTCATGTGATTAGGTTTTTATCTTATTACCTCACCTACATGGTTACTGTTTGTAAATAGTCAATAATATTGTTGGCCCCTTTTAATGTTGTTCCTTATATGTGTGATGATAACATTCTTTTGATTTGATATTTTCTATTGTGCCTAATTATCATTGTAGCAAACATATGGCTTGGAAACAAATTTTTTTAAATTACGATTATAAAAATGTATTTTTTGTCCTAAATAACAATATCTAAAAACATCTTGCTCAATATAAGTGTGAATGTCTTGAAAGTATGTATAAAGAATGTGCACATAGACTGTAAATCCCATCAGTACCACTAGCAACCACCTCGACTAACTGGTGCATGGTTAGCCATGACTGGAGTTATGAAGTCTATGCATTTTAATAGAAAATAACTTCTTGATACATTCTATATCATTCCTAATTGATTAAACTATTTATGTAAAATAGGTGTATAAAAAAGGTTTTCTACATTATTAGGTGTTTTTATTATGTCTTAGAGCCAAACTTTTTACAGTAGGGACACATCTCTAATTATACAATGGGAAAAAGGGTTTCGCTATACAGACAACTTTTCAAGAATGTATTATTTATTCTGTATATTAAGGGATGGGTGTACTAGAAACATATTCTAGAATGTTTTTCTCTATGACGTAGAATCCTCTATTCTGAAAAACTCATTGATTCTCTCATTTCAGCCAGACCACAGCTTGCACAGAATACAAGTCATTTCCATGACAACAGTCAAGGTGACTTTGCAGTAGCTGACATAAAACTAACAAGCTGCAAGGCCCCATAACACACTGTTATGTGCATGCATGCTCATGAAACATGTCATACTCACTTGATAATATGATCATGAATAATTATTTCATGACTCAACATTAAGATATTGTAGTGGAAAATACATAACAAATGCAACATTAAATATAAAAGTTAAATAACCTATATATATTTCAATGCTTATACTCTACTAAAATTGATTTTTCTTAAAACAATTTTCTTTTTTCCATTACCAAGTCAGGCTGCAGGGTCACTTTAGGCATGGGGCACTAGGCAGTCACCTAACTTGCCTATAGCTAGATCTGGCCCTGAGGAAGAATGGTGATAAAGAAATTGTGACATACTACACATTCAGGCATAATATGCATCAAGGCTATGGCAAGATCAGAATGCTGGTGGCTTGAGATTAATAAAGACTTGGTTTAACAGCTGTGGTTGTCTTAACAAAATGATATACGTTTCAGAATTAGAAAATTAGTAGAAATCTTGGGTAACAATAACATCATTCCCATCTAAACACTGTCACCGCGCCAACCACAATCCAATGGTTTAGCAGTAAACATTATCGAAACAGAGGTCTAGAAAAATAACTATGCTGCTTCAAACTAAACAAGAAAATATCACTGTTTATGTACAGAATAATGCCTAATTCAGCTGCAGACAAACACCATGGGATCTCATGGTAAAGAGGAAGTAGAAATCTATTTCTCACTGATGTAATTCATCCAAACAATGATGTGCATATTCACCTGAAACAAACTCAAAGGAGAGGTTTTTCAACATTGGAGATTTTGAAAGTTTTTTAAATATGAAAACCAGTAATATTCTATTATTGATAAAAGTGGATCAACATCAACAACATAACCTGAATGATAGATGCTCGTTCTAACAACTCCAAAAAACTCCTCCATTCATGTGTTGCAGCTATTTCTAGCTCTGAAAGCAAATAAATACAAAGAGATCTTAAACCTCAATTCAAGAAAACACCAATATAGTGACACTTCCAAATCATCATCAGGTGAGTGCTGCTACAACCAGTAATATTTCTAATAACTCTTGCTCTAGTGCACTATTTAAGAGTGTGCCATTTTCAAAATATATTATTCCAACATGTGCTAGTGCAATAACCATAGCTGATAAAAGATCTGCACTAACTGGCTAAAGCACTGAACCATGAAGTTCAACTAGAAACAGAATAACTCCAGTGTATTATAATGAACAAAACAGAACAGAACAAAGTTTCAACAAATCACTTCATTAATTAAAATGTTATTTATTGCTACACATCAAACCTAGTTTGATAATTCTTGAAATATTTGTTTTTGTATATTGTTACGTATCTGCTTGTTTGATAATTTCCGGTAGAAATTCTTTCCGAGAAACTTCAGTGATACAAATTCTTTCGTGATTAAACCAGTTTATTCTTT